AGGGCCTCCCGACGGCGCACGGCGCGCCTCGGCTGGCGGGAGGCGAGGCCGGGGGACCCCCGCGGGCGGGCAGAGCAGCGTTCGCACGTAGCCGCTGGACCCGGCAGCGCCGAAGGGCGACCCTGGAAGAGTGGACTCCGGAGACCCTTCGCGAGCCTCTCCCCCTCCCCCGGCTTCCCTGGCCTTCAGCCGTTTGTGCAAACTGGTGGTTGCAAGTGGCAAACGAGGGTGACCATGTTAGGCCAACCAGGTTAACTATAGTTTGTTCAGCAAACCGCGGTTAAATAGACTTCACCGAAGCAGGATGTGGGAATCCAGCAAGGGACCCATCCGGTTTCTGTTACCTTTGCAGAGCCTGTGTTCACCCAGTACCCTTCCTTCACTGCTGAACTACCCTCACACACTACCTTGGATCACAAATGAGTTCAACAGACAATATTCTGTAAGTCACAGAGGCGAAAAGTAAAAAATAAAAAACCCTCAGCCAAGATGAACGCTACCAAGTTCTGCATGTACAAGCGCATCTGCCACGTCTTTGGCTGTGAGGGCCACCTGAATCAATTTACGAACAAACCATGAGAGGCTTTTTTAAGCCACGAATTAGCTTCAGCAAGAGTTATTCCCTGGCAATCACTCTGGCTTTGGCTCGTTAAGAATCAGCGCTTCCTTAACTTGCTAGCAGGGCTAGAAAAATTGATCACGCAGGCTTCTTCGGCTGGCCACAACACCCCACGCGTGGACCGGCTGGCAGGTTGTTGCTCTGACCCCTTGCTGAAGTTTGGCAAGCGAGCCCGTTGCTGGCATAAAGAAAGGAGATTCCGCACCCAGCTCCGGCTGCGCTTAGAGGTGTCCGGACAAGGCTCCGGAGGGGAGCAAAAGTTTATCGTGAGCATGCTGAAAAGCACACCCAGAGGTAGAAACCTCATATGTTAATATCCCCCCACTAGACTATTATGGGGTAGAATGCTTTGGGGCGCATGTCTAAGACATGTACCAATCAGCTTAGTACTTCCTTCTTCCACTGCATAAAAGATGGTTTGGGCTTCACGAAAGGCGCTCGATTTGGACTTGGGTCCCGAGCGTCCCTCTTTGCTTCCCCACAGAAATAAAGTGTTGGAATCCACTTCGCTCAACTCTGCTCATCGCGCTGGGTGAAAACGAAGCCGGGGCCGGGCTGGGCTGGGCCAACAGCTGAAAAAGCAAGTTGAAAAATGCAGGCGGGGCGAAGCTTACATGGGGATTTGAAGATTAGATTATAAATGTAATGGGATACGTTTTGACAAAGAATTATTCCTATTTAATACATTAAAAACTAGCACCTATGATACTCTTACTATTCTCAAGACCAGAGATAGATTGGAAGCTATCTATTTTTCATGCCTTTCTTCTTTTCCTTTACTTTATCCCACGTTTTCTTTTCCTTTTCCTTATAATTTGTATTTTTCATTTTCTTTTTCATTTCTAACTTTTAACTTTGTAATTTTAAAATTTCGATAAAATATTATTATATATAGAAAAAGCAAGTGGTGCGAGCGCAGCGAAACTTGCCACACGGTAGATGGGAAGTCAAAAGCGACCTACAGGTACCTCTGGTCAAAACCACCTTCCTGCTGCAAAGGTAATGGGACGGAACCAGCCTGGCTCAAACGGGCCAGAGGCCCTTTCTTCAAGGAGGCGGCGGGTGCAGAGGACCAGCTCGCAGAGTGTGTCACAGACGGACACGAACTGGCTCTCTTCATCTCCCCCTCCGCAGGGAGCGGTGTGCGTGTAAAGGGAGCTGTGCACCCAACAAAGCGGGTCACAATTTGTTCTAGTGGTGATGACACAGTTCACTCAGACGTTAATCACGTTGTCGCTTGGCGTTTGCTGTGAAAGTAGCCGGGGTGGCTAAATCCTGCTTCATTGTCTTGTACGAATCCAGAAAGCTGGGTTGAGAGAACCACGAACCCAGTAACCTTACTTAGCCTACCTCGATGCAAACATACAGCTGTTGT